AAAAATTCAGGCAAGGTAAATATATTAAATGTGCACCTTAAAACTTATAAGGTTAAGATCTATAAATAGTATTATTAAATATTTTTGCCTATAAGAACTTATAGCAACTTATAGGATGATCAGGAACCTTATAATACATTATCATACAAACTTTCGCTTTAAAAATTGAAAATTGCTATCCTGATACTACTTTCAACATAAATTACTAATGGCAATATAAATATATAGGAGTGATCTACAAAATATTTCTCTAGAAAAATAGAATTTTATGAAAAATATTTTATTTAAAATCTATTCAGTATACAAAAAATAAATTGTTAAAAATGATGTCCCAAAACGTAGGTACGTAGTTTATCTGAAAATCAACTTGGATTTCAGAAATCCAATGAATAATTTCAGAAAAAATATTTTCTATTGTTATACTGTCGGTATAGGTACATACTCGTATTCAGACGAAATACAGTTCTAATATATTATTAATTTATTATRTATAATAATATCTAATATTGCGACATTACAATAAATAGTTCGAGCAGAATATTTTTCTGCTAAATTATGGTTCTGATTAAATATTTTCAGATATTTTACACACACCTAAAGTCAGGACCCCTTGGTTTTGGTAAAGGGAGTCACTTTAACTATATTTGAGTTACTTCAACTAACAAAAATAAGTTTACTTGTTAAGTTATCCGTCTGCCCATAGATTATAATGAATTATATTATATTAAAATAATATGCTTGTTATTTAAATTTAATGTCACGTGTTGACACAGAAGACATGTGTAATTGTGTGCGTAATGTTAAGGCTATGTAGGTAGATATAGCAATATATTAGGTACCTTATAAGTTATAAATTTATAATTATTAAAAACTGCCTGTACCAACATGCCTGTATGGAATACGCGTATTCGGATGTTAAAAAAACTTTGCAGTATGTATGGAGGGATGGTAAACAAGCATGTTATTTTATCACATGCATGGAGGTAAACTTAGGATACCTAATGTGATCCGACGCACCAACAATATTACAATAAGTATTAAAAAAAAAAATAAAAAGTAATGTACTAATGCCTATTCATCTCTTGTCTAAACAACTGTGAAAGCAACGCTATCGCGGCGCAACATTACGAGCATCGAGGACGTCCGACGCGGGGATCGGACACGGCACAACACAAAGCGACGCGCATGCGCGGCATAAAGCGACACGCACGCGCACATATTACAGCACACGCACATCGCACGATGATAGTGGTGATACGCACAGAGAAACACAATAATAATAATAATAATAATAAATGTGTAAGCTGCATAAAATGTAAATGTTTTAGTCGTTCATAGAATTGTCGTCGTCGGTTATCACGGACGGAAGTTGTCGTGAGCGAAAAGAACAAGATATTACTATCGTAGTGGTCGTTTTCTCGTATTGACTCGTAAGTTACCTATACAATTTCTTACCGTTTTTCGATCTCACTGCTGTCGCCGCTGTCCGACGGACACCAATACACCACACGCGCGAACGACTGAGCAAACAACCGCGACATCCGGTCCCGGAAGACATTTTTATTTCGAGAATTCTCCATTTCGCGTCCGGCGGTCGCTGTTCATTTTCTCTTTTTACTCTGATGTGTTCCGGTGAGATTGATCGATCCGTTTCTGATAAATGACGTGTTTAGATTGACGTGAAAATGGGACAAAAAGTGAGCAGCCTTGGCGACGTGTTCCCTTGGAAGAATGCCGACTCGTCGAAAAACAATGACGGGTCGACGGTGGGAGCCAGAAACAGTACGCGTACGTCCGCCCCGGCCACAGCTTTCGTTCCTGTCTGTGCAGTGCACGGAGTCCCGGTAACTGGAGACCAGCAGCATTTCGAGAACCTTTACGTTTCCAACAGCGATGTGCCATCGACATCCAGCAACGACCAGAATGTGAACGGTTCTGAAGCGTCAGCAGTGGCATCCGGCATAGAAACAATGGCGTCCAAGAACACTCAGTCGTCGTCATCGTCATCAAAAAGTACGACTGGTTCCAAGAAGCTTAACAACTGGGTGTTACGTTTCAACTGTTCTCGTCCAAAGTCAAAGAATAAGTGCTACAATCCGCCTGAAAATGTTCCCGAGTCAAACGAAGGAAAGTGCGAGACGTGCGTATGCACACGATATGAACGCACAGAAGATAATCATCAAATTGACAACAATGTTGTGGTATTCGATCCTTCTCCTGTACCAGTCGAATATGAAGAGCAAGATGAAGAGGATGAAACATCGCAAGATTTGCTAGACTTTGAAGGTGCGTTCAATGCGTTCAATGCATTTGAAAGTCACAGCCAGTTGGTGTTACCTTCATTTGATGAAGGCCTCATGGATCTGCATTCAGATATTAGTGGGGAAGAATTTATGAATGAAGACTTTGAAGACAGAGCTTACAAAGAACGAGCCAAAGAAATTCAAGAGGGTATTGAACCACCACCAGGATTTAGGCCTGGGTTACACATACAGTTGGTAGAATTTAGTTTGCCCAAAATGACTATAGACAATTTAACCTCATTATTCCATAGAGCTGCACTTACAGCTCTAACTGCACCACATGATATGGATGACAGCCATCGAATACATACATCCATTGACTACATTCACTACCTAGTTCCTGATCTACTTCAAATCACAAATTGTTCATTTTATTGGGGCAAAATGGATAGATATGAGGCAGAAAAATTGCTTGAAAATAAACCTGAGGGCACCTTTTTACTTAGAGATTCGGCTCAAGAAGAGTATTTGTTTTCTGTAAGCTTCAGGAAATATGGTCGTTCTTTACATGCACGAATTGAACAGTGGAATCATCTCTTTAGTTTTGATTCAAGGGATCCTGGTGTTTTTGCATCATCTACAGTTTGTGGGCTAATAGAACATTATAAAGATCCTACCTGCTGTATGTTCTTTGAACCTATGCTGACCATACCGTTACATCGGAATTTCACATTTTCTTTGCAACACACATGCCGTGCAGCTATTTGCAGTCAAATTACTTATGATGATGTCAATCAATTGAAACTTCCAAAATTGTTAAAGTCGTACTTAAAAGAGTATCATTATAAGCAACGTGTAAGGGTACGCATATTTGATTCAGAAAATTAATCTCCYTTTTATAAACTCATTTAGTTATATTTGTATTTTATATCAATATCTATAGTTATATAAATAGTTCTAACATTATTAGTAATGCTAGATAAAATGTTAATTATTTTTCATTTAAATAAAAACAAATTGATACAAATATAAATTTCATAACTTTTTTCTATACTTACCTGCCAAAATGTACTTGTACATTACTACMTGTTTAAATTATTTATTTAGTTTTATATTATTATTAGATATAAGTTATATTTTAAATTTTTGTTAACAACTGTTAAATTTTAAAAAAATTATTTAAATCTGACATATTCTCAATAATTTCTTCAAATGCCTTAATTTGTTAACTAAAGCATTTTATACAATAATATACAATATTAATAACTCAATATTAGGCGAGATGTTAGGTATGTATTTATTTAAATAATTATGTAATATTAATACATTATTATTTATTTTTTGTTATTTTCATACTTTAATTTTGATGGTAGCAGAGATTTACCAATATTATTATCATTATTATTTTATTCATATATAATAAGTTTTAAAAATTAATTTAGWTTAAATCTAACAAAATAATGAATTAAAAAGTCCCAGAAATCTTATACCTGTAATCCTGTATATGAATGAAGTTTATGTATGTAACATTTTAATAGCATTATGTTATGTATAAATTATTTTTAAAGAAATCTCTGTATATTTTAAATTTTTATAATGTACTTGACTTGAAGTATCGGCATTATCAATGTTTTTAATATTAGTGTTTAATGTTTATTTAACTTTTTTTAAATTTTTTACATGATTATCGTTAAATTTGAATATTTGATTAAATATCTATCTTGCACTTATGAAATATTAAAAGTATATAATATGTATATATAAGCGATTATTTTCATGTTTTTATAACAGTTTTTGGAATTAATTTCTAAAAAAATTATTTAAGTATAAAATAGGCTAATATTGTTAATCATATTTACTATTATTATAATGTTTAATAATGTTATTATTAGTATTAATATTTTATACACGTAAAATATATCAATCTCTAAATGTTTAAGAAATAAATACCTTTTTATTATACAAACAAAATATTGATGGTATTTGCTTAGTAGTATGAAGTATGTCACTATAAATAAATATTCATTTTTGTGATATAATTTGTACATAAATGTCATAATTTAATAATATCGTTCAAAGATATTTTTGAATCTTGCCAGTTAATAATATTTTCATCTACCTAGTAAAATATATCTGGAATGTATTTTGAAATATTTTGTCATATATTTTATTGGTCTTATTCAAAATGTGTTATRCCTATARTAAATTAATTGTTCAATGTTCATACAAATATAATAATATTTAAAAATGTACCTATATGATGTTTTTGTTTTTTTATTATAAAATGTTTATGAAAGTATGATGACAATGTTGAGATTTAGTAAATCCAAAATGAAWATGTAGATATATATAGAGGTTGCTGGTATTAATGTATTAAACATGTTACAAACTATTTGATTTTCAAACTGGAAATTCCAAATAATCGAACCAAACCAAATACCTAATAGTTTAGTTTGATRAGCCAACTATAGAAATAAAAATAAATTTCAAGTAAAATAACAAAATTATAAGTAATTTTAACTTTTTAAATATTTGGTTTGAGTTTGATAAAATATTTGAAGAGTTCAGTTCGGTTTGGGTTCAATTAAAAGTGTATAGATCTATTTGAGTTGACTATTCTAAAGAAAAATTTGGTTTGGTTTAAACCTAACATTAAATGTTATGGTTTGCAACATCTCTAAATATTATATTATTAACTAGAATAACATGTATATATATAAAACCATAAAAGTTAACAAATAAATAGTGGAAAGTGCTAAAAGTAGTGGAATTCTCTGCTATACAAAAGGAATCGAATGGGCCTCATAATTTTTTTCATCACTGAGCAAAAATTTTTATGATATTGTAAGATCAAAACATTCATTACCTTACTCAGAATCTAAAATTAAAGTACTTTAATGATTAATTGTTTGATATTTGGACTATAACAATTATTTCACTTTTCACTACCTACTAAGGTATAATTTATTATTGATTATACAATGAAGCTGCTTTAGATATGAAGAAATCAAAATACCACTTTTCTTATCACATATACTATTCTGTACCAAATATACATTTTCAATAAAACAATTTTTTTTTAATAACGGCAGTTTAATATAATCTGATATGAAGGTTTTATATTTTAATGTAAATGTTAATTGGAGCGCTTTCTAATCGGTTCCAATTAGAAGGGCTGATTCCCACTGTGTCACTTTATTTTAAAACATATCTTGGTATATTTTAGTTTAGTTACTATAGTAATTTCTGTTATTCTTAAGAGGACTCCACACCTGCTTCTGTTGTCTCCGTYGTATGAATGCATAACATAGCTAATTTTATGTTCAGCAGATCACATTTATCTCCGTTAGTTTAATATTTARAAAGAATTGACCTATTATAAAAATTAAAGGCAAGATTATTATCTGGACATCTCACAGGTTTTTTATTATATTTTAAATTTAAAGTAAATTTTGAATATCTCAAAATTGTAAATTGTTTGTATATCTAAAAATAATCATAACTTGCTTTAATATTAAAATATAATAAAAAGCCTTTGAGATGCCTTAGATAATAGTCTTGCCTTTAATTTTCATAATAGGTAAATTCTCTCTAAATATTAAACTGACGGAGATAAACATGATCTGCTGAGCGTAAAATTTGCTATGTTACGCACTTTTGCGACGGAGACAACACATGCAAGTGTGGCGTCCTCTTAACTGATTCTAACAGTTTCTGTAAAAAAAAGTACCTGGGAAACATGATATAATTTATGTTTATATACTATTATAATTGACTTGTAGGCTATAGTAAAATATTACCTCTTAAGTCATTATTTATTCTTCGATTGAATATGAATCAATATTTCTATAATATAAGTAAATTACATATAAAATATTATGTCTATAGATTTTACAGACATTTAACCATTATACATCCTATTATCTATACAATAAACATAATATATTATAATTACAGTTGATACTTTTTATTATACATACTGTWTACTCAATGAAAGTATGGGAATAATAAATTAACAAAATATTTAGTTTTCAAAACTGTTATTAGCCATTATCACTAACACTTGGTAATTGATTGTTATTTTGTTGCTTGAGTTGTAGTTAAATCATTTATTTAGCAAGCAAAACTAATGTTGAATCCTATTTTACTTTATTTAGACTGTATAGCATATTATGTTTATGTATACAAACACAATATAATATTTTGTAAATATTTAAATAGGTACCTTGACAACAAAACTCATAATAGTTTTATTTGTAAGCATTGTAARCTATATTATTTTCATCTAYGTACCTTTGTCTTCTTTTTTTTCTCATTTTAGATTCAATTTAATACAAATAGGAAAAAATTTTTTTAAATGTTTAATATTTTAAAAAAAATAAATCATAAAGCTAAAACCAATAAAAAAACTACAAATATGAAAAGCAGAAACTCTATGCTAAAATCTGTATCCAGTGACTTATTGTCTTACATGATGAGAAAAGAAAACTGCGGCATTAGTTTGTATAATATTTGCTAATTATGACTAGTTGGAATTGTATTATAGATGGTACATAATTGTTGTATAGGTACACACATATCCAAACATTATTAGATATGTTTATATTTCAAAATCCTATACAGCCAATAACATATTTTGAATACTACAGTGAAAATATTAAGATGCTATATCAGACAACAAATTCAGATCCTGATTTGAATTTTTTGAATAATATTGACATTGATATCTATAGCAAAACAATAGAAATATATAAAGTATTATTTAATTTACATTAAATTTGGGATAAAATGTAAACATTTTTCAAGCATGATACATTTTAGGATACCATATATAATATCAAAGAATATAAGACAAGTAGTATATCCTATGGGTATGAAGTCGAAGGTGAATATGATGACATGCAATATAATAAAGATATAGATGAGATTAATGTACAAGACTTATCAAAAATCAATAACATGTTCAATAAAGCAGGATGTGGTATAACAAATGATGAAGCTCACCTTATTGGGATAACTATAGACCAAATGTCACAACTAGGAAAATTTAAAAATATTAGGTTAGGTATATTTTAGATAATTCTAGCACAATGGTGTCTATTGTTGGTTCAAAAATTATTATGAATATATATTCATGTTCCCAGGTATTGGGGTAAAATAATAGGCTTAAAACGTAACTATTACATCCTAGAGTGTGATTGGAAAAATAAAGAATTGGAATATAAACTAAGGGTAATCACTAAAAATTTTACTGACTATTCTAATTTTTCAAGTCCTATATTATAAAATTTGGATATTTTTTAAATTATAATGATTTAAAAATCTCCATCAAGAGGACTCTGCACTAGCATTTGTATTTTGTTGTCTTCGTCTCACAAGTGTGTAACATAGAAAATATATGCTCAGTGTTTAGTTGTTTAGCTTCGTATGTCTAAAGATTAGARAGAGTAGACCTATTATGAAACTTAAAGGTAAGAACAATATCTATATGTACTTTGGTTTTTTATGATAATTCTATTTTGTATGAGTAGCTAGATATAGGTATAATTTGTAAATTTGCATATAGAAAATATGTGAAAGCTGCAATTTTAAAAATACTCATAACTCACTTAAAACTAAATTATCTTAAAATATCAACTTATGAATACAGATAGGTAATGTTGTTACCATTAAGTTTAATAGGTCGATTCACTCTAACTTTTAAACCGATGAAGCTAACGTGAATTACTAACGTGTATTATTGAGTGCATACATTTTGTATACCTACTTCTAAAACAAAGACAAAAAAAAACAAACATAGTGTTATCTTAACGAAAACTTGTTTGCAATTTGAATATTATACATTGTAATGTAGGTATTTTGTTGCAGCTTTTAAATGAAATATTTAACGCTAACAAAAAAGAAGTATCACATGATTATGAAAATGAAAATGAAAATCAAGAAGATGTAGACTTAGAAAAATATATACTATCTGAAGAAGAAAATCTATTTTTTTCCAAAACAACATTGTCCGTTCCAATCAGTAAAGATATCAACGATGAGTCAGAGTCTTTCGATTCTCTGAAATCGGTAGAATGTTTCTTTCCATCCACAGAATTCGATAATGATGATTTATCCCATGAAATATTTGGTTTCGGAGCTAACAAAAAGGTTCGTAATATTATGTTTTGCCGAATTCCCCGCTTTTCTTATAATATTCATTATTTAGTCGTACTTTGTAACGAACCAATTGAACGATTCATGGATTGAGTTGCCACTTATCAAGCCTCATCATATCATTCAATCACGAAATATCAAACGATATTTTACAGGAGATTTGGAGACACCTGTAAAAATACAATAATTATGTCGTTAAACATATATTTTTTTAATCGCCTGTGTGAAAATATTTGATAGTTGCCTACTAATGAAATTTCTTATACATATACAGGTTGAATCTTATCCATTATTTCAAGGTTTGGAAAAACATTATCTCAGAGCTCAAATTGCAAGAATAACAGCTGCCACTCAAATATCACCTTGTGATTATTTTGTACTCGACTACAATTCAAATTCATATAAATGGAGAAAATTAAACTCTTTTCAATCGAAAGTGATGTCACAGAAATGTAAGATTTTTAAATCTTTCACATATTTTACATCTATCAATCTGARTTCTAAATATTATTTAACCATATTAGAAGGCCAGGTTAATATAGCAATTACTAATTAGTATTATAATGTATTAACATTGATTAAATATACTTATTATTGTAATATACTTATTGATTATATTTAATCAATGGTATTAATTAGCAATATTACTAAATATCTACCTACGAATACGAATTGTATTCAAAATTTTAAAAGCTTTAATAATTTTAACTCCTATACTTATTATATTGTTTAGAATAATTCTTATTATATTAGTTTCTGTTTGAAACGATGAGTCTATAAGTCTATTAATTTTTCAATGACGTGTGGATTAGTAATTTGGGCATCGCCCGTTTCCGCCAAAAAACTGGTCCCTTGATTTAGGCCAAAAACGAAAAACGTATGATTCCCGCTTCCTCCAAAATGTATTTTTGTGAAAAGACGTTTCCGTAAATTTGGGAACCATGTGCAAATATTACATATTCTTAACATATAAAAATATTTTTATTATTATAAATTATAATACAAGTAGCTAATAATAATTAATAATACATTATATTTAACTATTTCAAATTATAATACAAGTATAGGTCAAATATAGCCTCAAAAGAGTTTTGAAAAAACATATCGCTATTTTTAAATAATTAAAAATGTCACAAAAAATATTAACAGTAACTCCCATTAATTTAGTATATGTGTAGTATGTAGGTATGTACACGATTTATGGTAGAAAAAATGCTTTGATTTACAATTTTAATATCTTTTAGKTCAGTTATTTGAAACCTTTTGGTACCTATTTTAGAGGACTAAGATTACAAATTTTCTATACTTGTCAAAACAATCGGGAGAAACAAAAAAAAAAAATTAAGAAAAACGGAAATTTTTTTATAAATGAATTTTGTGATATTACCAATATATTTACCTACTTAATTATATCACGAACCTTTTCTTACTGACACCGTTATGCTATATCATAGAGTTTATTTTGCTGAAAATTTTGATCTTTCAACATTTCATTTTTATTAATCAGATTTTTAATACATCTTTAAGTTTATAGATAAAACGGAAAAAAACTGTTTTTTATCCGGACGGCGAGTGCCCCTCTACCGCTAATTGGTATATTCTCACATGACATCCTGTATAAGTAGGTATACCTACTGTACAGCAGAACGGTTACACCTATTCTTTCTTGTTTTTTAATTACTTAACTTGTAGATTGTATTATTATGTAAAACAATATTCTTGAATAACCGTATATGGTATATGTAATTTTTACCATAATTTATGATTGATAGTGCATAAAGCACTTATTATAATAATATAAGTAAGTCTTTATGTATATTATGTCATGATGAGACAGGTTATTGGTAAATAGCTTTCATTTCATTAATTAATTATATATTATGCTTTTTCCTATTTTTTTTTTAGTTAACGTATTATTTTCATATCTGTTTTAGTACAACTGTAATAATATTATTAAAATTATTATTTATTTAATTCCCGCCCTTTACACTTTCACTCACGTTACTCTTTACCTTCTTAATTTAAATAATTTACGTCACTTTTTGTATCTAAAAAGTCATATGTCATATTATAAGTCATTTTCTTTGGACGTTATATGCCCCAAGTAACTTGGGCCAAGTTGGGTACTGAAAAATGATTGATATTCATTTATAATGATAGGTGCTTAATTTAATAATGTTCGTAAAGTTTTATGACTGTAAGTATTAACTATTAAGTGGATAATATGGTAGTTGTCCTGCGCTGCAACCCACCAAGTTAGTTGTTATATTAGTTACACCAAATTACTGTATTACTACGTTTATATGATGGCATTAAATAGGTTTGAAATTAAATCGGTTTTAAATTCTTAAACTACATAAAGCGAGCGTTTTAACGCCTTCATATAAACGTAGTAGGTATATGAGATTAACAAAGTACTGTAAGTTGTAACGGGAAATAAAAAATATATACATATATCGATTATCGACGTCAGTCTTACTGCAATAACTCGTGATGCTCATCGTTTTCAAGTGTCCTTTGACCTTTATCGTATCAGTATTATTAAGTTTATTTTAAACTATATAGTCAATAATAGACATTAGGTACGTACCTAACATTAGTGAATACTAAACAATTTATCTATTTCACTTACCACTTTGTAAGTATATAGTTTTTGATTCTATCATTACAATTGGATATTATGTTGTGTCGATGTTTCGTTATTGTTGCCTATAAAGTAGTCATAATAAAGGTCACTAATGTTTTCATTACGAAGTATAGATATTGCTTTTTTAAGCATATTATATATTATTGCATAGGAACTATATTTTTGAAAGTTATGATCGTATAATTTTTTATGTTTTGATGTTTATCTGTTAGAACAAATAAAATATTAAGATGCCTTAATCGTACTCAACTTATATAAAAATAGGCACTTGCATTACGTTTCTAGGGATTCATGAGTATATAGTGAACGTGGATTACAATCCTTTGTCAGTATATGATTTATTGGATCCGAGCAACTGGGTACATCACACTCCCTTGATATCGGAAAAAGGAGTGACTAAAGCGTGGACCAATATTATAGAGTCCGGTGAAGACTTACAACAAGTAATATTTATCGACCGATTTACTGATATAAATTGATAATCGATTATAATAATATCGTAAAATATAATATATTGCAGGTAATTTGTATATATATAATATAAACATATATAGATGTAGTTGGGAAATACATCGTTACGACCTTATTTTATAGAACTTATATAGATTTAGTACATAAAATCCAATAATGATATGCGTAATAATTTAATAAAATAACATTGCTCAGAATTCGGAGAGAATTGAATACGGTTGTAAGGTTAGGATGAACATAAAAACCGGTAAAGGAGATGGTGATCATCTAGACATATTTGGAAACCTGTCTAACGACGCTTATATGGGTGAGATGCCACCATGGAAATTCGAATTGACTAATCGGTTTGACCACACGAACACTTATGCGACCATCAGGTCTAATCTTTGGCCAGGAGCACACGCAGTTGCGCGTGAAAAGTAATATATAGTTAAAAATTATGATGCACATTCATATATAATGAGGTCGATTCCGTTTTGGTTTGTATTTAAGTATATTGTTTTCAATATTTTGCCGCGAACAGCGTTTCGGATTACACGTATCACGGTTGGGGCATCAAATGGGATGCTTTTAGTTTCACGGTCCAGTCATTGAGTGGATATCAGCCATCCGATCCCTATCAGGACGAAATCGGCATGGCCAAAGAAATCAGAGATCCAACACGTGAGGACGAACTGACATACTTCTCAATAGTTAACAAGAGGAAGGAAAATCGGACTAGTAAGAAGATCAACGCCCTGCGACTGTTTTCTGCATCAGACGAGGATGAAGAAAGAATCATTAATCAACACGACTACGATTGATGCTGGTAATAAGTGCCGTTGATCGTTGTTATATTTTATAAATTGTTATTAATATAGTGATTATCCACGTACAACGTTATACAATATACCTACTTCTTATGGTAAGTATACTCACCTAAAGCATCTACCATGTATAACTGTGCTATATAATTTTTTTGTTTGATAATTATAATCCTATTTGGCTTAATACAGCTTTATAGTAATGAAATTGATCTTGTTTGATTTATTACGTAGAATATTTCATATCCAATAAAAGAAGGTTAGCTACATATTTTAAATTAAACATTAAATAATAACATAATAACATATCTAATCTTACTAGTGTTTTTATTTATAGGTATACTTACCTAATATATATAATCCTATCAGCGGCGTAACCAGGATTTTTTTCCGGGNTAATAATATTCTATTGCTTTTGATTTGAAATAATATAACATTTCGTCTTATAAGTAATAATTTATACAAATTATTTAAAAAATAAATAAATATATAATAACAATTATATTTGATTTTTATATTATTAATTTTTAAAAGCTTGTTAACGGAATACAAACATAAGTAGTTATTTTATAGTGCATATATATACGGCCGAAGCTATAGAAAACTAACAAAATAAAGATGACAATTTAAAAATTAGTAAAATACAATTTAAGACTTTTTGAGTGAATATTGTAGACCATTGAAATAATTTTTAAATTTTATTAACATTTCAGGGGGGGGGGGGCTGCAGCCCTCCCCCTGGCTACGCCACTGATATCCTATATATTGATAGACTAAAAAGTGGTCTAATGGACATAATATACGAGTAGGTATAAATACGATATGGCTTAAATTAGATTAGATTATATTTATTCATTTATTATTATCATTTATGTCATTTGTGTCAAGATAGCATGTTAATGTATATGTATAAATTGATTTAATAGGGTTAACTTTTATATATATACACAAAAAGTGTAAAAGAAAAAAAGATTATAGATATGCTAGACTTTAATATGACATYAATAATTTACATAACATGCGAGACTTTATAGTTTTTAACTGAACAACACTTTAATCATTCACTCAAATTGTAGTTAATTTCAAAAAAATAAATCGATCGCATAAACAATATAAAAATGTTTGAAAATATGTAAGTACATACATCAATACATGTAATTATTATCAAAATAAATATTGTTGATTTTTGGTACACACTTAAAATAATAATAAAAATGAATTTAATAAACACCTATATAATTTATGCATTTAAAAAAAATATACTATGTTAAAATTTTTCTTGTTTTTGGTMCTAGTTGGAACGATCAGAACTAAATGACGGTAATGACTAATGATTATCATTTTGATAATTCATTTTACATAGCTGAAAATTAATTTTTAGTTAAATCAATTATTTTTAGTTTTTATTTATATYACTTTATTACCATATAATATAAATGTTTATTATTTGTTTTTTCTATTGAAAATTAATTTAAGTTTAACCCTACAATTTTATTTTATACTAATAATTTCAAGTATTATGAGGTTATATAAAAACAATATGTCTCATATAATTAAATAATTTTACCTTTTATGAACCGCGAAATGAGATAATGTTTAACTATTTAAAACAAAATATTGAATCAATTAAGTGATATACACTTTTAATAGGTATTATAGAATATTAACTAAAAATAGTTATTTCACCATATCTATCTTCATAATGAATGATTAATTTTAATGTAGAAATTTATTTATTTAATTAAACATTGATATGCTATGTTTTTTATAATGACATAAAATATGGTGTTGTTTCAAATCTAGGATAATCTATTTTTTATTTTTTACAAACCAAATTTTACAAATGGTTGATTGATTAAAAAAAATTAAATACATGAAATACAAACACAATTTTTTTAATTTCTATTATTACTTTTATTAACACTGTAATATAAATGTAACACAACTTACATTTTAATTTCTACAGAAAAAATAAAATAAAATAATAAAGATTGAAATTATAGGTTATAGGTATGTTTCATAATTTTGTAACTAACAATAAATAATATGATAAAATATCAAGAGATAAAAAAAAAATATGAATATTAAAAAGGAATGTAAAATATTTTATTTAATGTATTTGTTATAATGTTAAAAAATTATTTAAAATTATAGTAATTGTGTCATTTATTGATAGTCATCAAATTATAATTGTTTTACACATAGTAATATTCTTAAAAAAATATCTCTCAAAAAAAATAATAATATGTTTTAATATAATATATAATTAATACCGTCATATAAAAGTGAGCATATATATCTATTAAAAAAATATGCAAATGCTGTCAGAAATCCAATTTTAATTGAAAAAATGTAAAAGTAGAAAAATACATTAAGTCATTTAAACACAACAAACATATGTTTTGACTACACATCAGTTACCTGATGCATTTATTATACAAACTGAAGTTGTAATAATATTTCTACAAATAGAATACGTTTGATAGATAAAATGAAATATATTATAGTTATAGTATTTAAATTAACTAAACAATATATAAATACATCATAAAATATGATGTTTAATAAAGCAGTTTCTCAATGTAGAATATTCCAGGGTTTATTAGTAGTTTTAAAAGCTAATGAAATTAATTGAAACGAAAGACATTCCAAAAGAATTGATAGAAATGCTTAATGAAAACTAAACATGATTACCTAAAACTTATATTATGGCATGTAATTAAACAATAAAATGCTATTATTCTGTTATTTAATTTTTTTTAACCTAATATGGTACGTTTTTGACTAAATTCATTATTGTTTGGTAATTTTGATTATTAAAAATAATTTAGTGTTGAAAATATACAAAACAATAAATCTCATAATAAGTCTAATCTATAGTTGTATACTAACAAATAAAATATATCCATAAAATTAAAAACTAAATCAATAAAAACACTAGATTTAAAGTATATGGAGAAAGTAAAAGTCTTATAACTATAGTAACTTAAAACATTAATTCTAAAAATAATCACAATATCGGTGACGTTACATTCTTTTTACAAATGCAAAAACATTTTAGTTTCTTTTTAAGATAATATAGCAACACTTTTACGAGCAACTGTATTACTGCTTACATTATCTAGACTAGACCACTTCTTTATACCATTTTTTAAAAATTCAGCCGTTATCTTATCTTCAAATACTCTAGACATTGCTTCTAGTTTTTTAGCTCGTTCTTTACTTAATGGTTCTGCGGGAAATGTCAATTCATTGTCTTCAGCCAACGAACGTAGATCAAAATAATATTTGGCATAAACACTAGATGGAACATTAATGTTGAATTGTAGCATCTCAAGGAATTGCCGTTCTAATTCATTCCTAAGTAAAATTAACATTTATTAAAAAATAATTTTTACATTTCAATATAAAATATTATTTCAATTGTTAAAAATTTTTTCAAGATGAAACTATCACTGTTATTTTTATTACTAATTTGTAGGAAGTATGGTTATTAATTATCTAAACAACGATATAGTTAAATAATGACTATTATATGTTTGGACCATGACACTTAATACTAATTTTAAATTAAAATTATTAATACTATAAATTAAATTTAAATATATCATATGGAAACAGTAAGTTATGCTTAATGAGATCACTGGTTTATAGAATCAACAATTTATTGGAATAAATTGTATGTTACTAATACAATTTATTGGAATAAATTGTATGTTACTAATATTAAATTGACCATTTATTAGAATCATTATGTACTTGATAATTGAATTTTTTAAATAAACATATTTAATTATGTTATATAACAAACTGATTATGTAAGGAAACAAAGAACTGGAATAGGTATAAGTATACAATTAAATTGTCTTTTCATACTTATCAGTGTATTAATATACATCCTATCATTTAATAGGTATGGCAATTATACTTACTGTTAAAAATTTTTATATAGTGTACTATCATGACAATCACAAACAAGTACCAAAATTTTTCTTACAAAGCAACAAGCAAACATAAAATAAATAAATAAATGAAAAAAGTGAACTATTTCGATAATTTGGAAAAATGTTAGCAAAGTTAATTTTAAAAACTCTCCGACTCATATTAAACAAAATTTTTAAATTTTTAATTAAATTGATGTTGATGGAAAAAACAGTTTCGTTAAATTATATAATATATGGGTTTTCATTTCAGGTTTTTATGGAAATTGAATTACAATTCACTTAGATCAAATTTAAAAAAAAATAAAAGAAAAAAAAATGATTTAGGGAATCAACTACTTTAGGATCAAAATGATATGTACCAATGTGATCATAATAAGCAGAACTCTATCTGTAATATGATTTATTACATCCCAGTATGTACATATTATGAATAAATTTTCTTACATTAACTTTTGTGTCGTAGCAAATAATTGTATATTACACAGAAACATACTGCTAAGCTTTGAATAACTGTTTGAATATAGTATAGTGTTATGTCTTTATAGGCTCCCCAATTGTTATGTTAAAATTAAGCTTGATCGTTTTATGTTTTATTAAAATATAATGTTGATAAGTGAAAATGTTCAGTTTAAAATAATATATACATTTTTTTTAAACGTATATTGGTGATAGATGATGAGCAATAATTTTTTTTTGGTTTAAATATTTAATGGGTTTATAAATAATATTATGTAACTACAAAGATTTGGAAAAATTTAATAGATTGATAACTTTTTTTTTGTTAATCTCTACAGCTTCAGTATTAATATTAAGTGCAGTGTTACCCAATAAAAAATGTAATGCATTAAGAAGTTGCATTTATGAAATATTAGTACATTATAACCGCAATAACCTAAATGTACTAGAAATAATAAGTTTTAAAACCTGAAGTTAAAAATATTAATTTAAATTGCACATACATATCTTCTACTGTAATATCTTTAAGAATTTGACAATAATCTACATTCCATACAGCTTGATCATCCCATACTTTTGAAGCCAACAAAATTGCTCCAAGAACAATTCTCTTCCAATTGGCAGGTGTTATATCAACTTCGGCATAAGTTAATAACCTATAATTTTTTTTTTTTTAATTAATGAATAAAATAAAATATTGAAACAATGAAAATAAAAACTTTACCTTTCTAAATAAACTAATGTTATAATAGCACATTCAGCAGTTAATTGTGCAGCGTTAAATAATGTTCGAACAAATTTATATATATGGCGATGTTCTGGACTATGAACATCATAATTATCAGGTACTCTATCTCTCTAATAATTCAAATAAAATATTTAAATTAACACAGTTAAAAGCTGCTCAAAAGTAACATAAAAGTTAATGTATGTTCATTAAATTCATACTTACAGTTAAAGGATGTAATTTTTCATCAAAAATTTCAATTTGTCTTTCAGAAGTTCTATTTTTTATATGATAGTAGATTGCAAGTGCTACGCATTTAACTGTATTTTTTAAATTAGGTTGAGATACTGTACTATCATCTAAATATATAGTTGAACATGAACTACTTTTTTTTAGAGATCTGAAGTCTACAATCTGTAAAACAATTAAAAAAGTACAAAATAAATAAAGTTATTGTAATAACAACACTATAGCCAATAATGAAATTTAATATTTAGAACAAATATTAGGTATTATTATGATTTGWATTTTGTAATCAATTAGATGTCAATACTAAATAATGTAAACAAACAAACCTGAGACTGACTTTGTTTTCTTGTTAAACCATCTGAAAAAAAAAATGTGTTTATATAAAAATAGGTACCAATATCATTATATATTGAATTGAAAACAAAATGTATTATTGAGTAAATTCATTAACATTTAAAATAATCAATTAAATGTTTATTATGATAAATATATACTGCAAATTTACATTGTTTAAGACAAAATAAATTGTCTACCATTAGGTAAAAAAGTTACTAGATGAACTAGAAATACTTATGAAAGGGTAAGATGATTAAAATTTCTTAAGGTAGTTTCAAACTTAAAACACAAAAAATAAATACTAATCTTATTATTAAGAAACTAAAATATGTATTTAAAAGTCACTTGTAAATTGTAGGCACCTATTTGAAGAAAAAAAAGGCAATATTACTAATAAGTAGTTATTTAATATTTTATTGGGTATACTTAATAACAATATAATATTAATATTATATTATAATATTGAATTGAATTACAAACTTATATTTTAAGACTTGAACTGTGTTTGGGTAGTCATTTCATTGTAATAACAACCAAGTAAAATAAATTGAAAATATACAGTAAGTAAGGCTTAGATATAAAACTTACTTTCAACTTTTGATCTTTCTAGAAATATTGTAGCAACTTTTGGATGGACAGATGGGTCAGTATTCCAGTCGTCTTGCTCGCGTTCACTAATATGCTGYAAGTTGCCAACACTTTCCTCGCCCTCTTGCGCGAATTCATTTATAGCGCCATTTGCATCCTTACGCCTAGACAGGGGACTGCTGTACGAGCAACAACTAGTCCAATTGCCCATGATTTGTAACAAGCAGATGCTTTCGTCAATAAACATGAAGATTACACAAATACGTTCAATGAAATAGTGCTAAACGTTATAACATTTTTAACTATTTTTTATATAATCATTACACATGTATAAAATGTATAGAAGATATAATATAATTATTATCGTGTAACGTTTATTATCTTGGCTGACAGTGCCACGGCAAGCGTTGGTAGTATGCACTTTGTTGGACACAAAACTTTTTTTATTAACCGTCGTCTGTTTGTCGGCTAAAGTTTGAGGCGGCGTCGGCGATGGTGAGGGAATAGGGAATGGAACTGCGGAGCTGGCGTGCAGACTAAAGAGTGCGAGATTTATATTTTTATCAGGCGACGTTGAATAATCAACAAACACTCTCCTGTCACCGATGACAACATATTGTCACTTGTTTAATAATAATAATAATCGTTGTTTACAATGAACTTACTCACACCTGGCCTTGACGGATTATTGTATTATGTTCCTAATGTTGCGATGACTGATGGGCGGATAGAATGGATAGATAAAAAGTAATATTATGTATTTATATAACACCCATAGCCACACAAACGAATTAATGTTATCACTGACGCGTGTTGACTGATAACGTCGACCGCGTGTTAGGGAGGGTATGGTATGCGGAATTCTGTGATTAGTATCACCTTATCTTCTCTACATTACATCTCTTTCTCTGAACCTCGGTTGTGGTCTGAAATCTRAAAGTCAACGATGATCTTTTGTTGGGCAAGTGAGACAACGATGCCCRGTGCCTCGATTATCGGTGACGAACTTACTGACGACCGATGGTTTGGACGCCTAGTCATAAGTTACTAAGTTAGGTTAACTGAGTAATGTTTTAAGTGTTTGTTAGTTGTTTCATTATTGTCTATTTCACTGTTAAGTTTAGTCGAGTACTCTCTCTTTCATTATGATTTATAAGTCGAGGAAAAAATGTAAATTAAAAACAAAATTATATTTTATATTTTAATTTATCGTTTACCCTATAATTGGACAATAGTAACAACTGTAACGTCTGTAACTATTCATCGACAATCGAAGTCGTAACTCGTGATCGTTGGCTGTGTCCGGTGTACTTCTTATGGGTAAGTAATCTCGTACGTTATATAATATGACGTTTAGTGATTTACATTTGGCGTAATTCACTCGCTTCTTGTCATTGAACAAATTACTTTTTTAGTGACTGAATATATGAAATTAGGAAAATGTAAATGTTAGACAGTATATTTAAAATTTGGTCTGTTTTTRTATGCGGCCTTTCAACGACAAATTTTTTTTTATTGTAAACAATTTCCAAAATATAAATAGTTAAATTATGGGGTTATTTTAGATTTTTGAATAAACAACAATTTTATAAGTGTACAATAGGGCATGTGTGTGAGTGATTGTGAAGCCCGTTTCACATGGACATATATTATACGCGCCACTTCGGCGATGACGCGTTTCCCTTGCCAGTATGACGCGTATGAACTTAATCAATGTAAATTAAAAACGCGCGCGTATGATACGTCGCGTCCATGTTGAACGGGCCTGAGGCCAGGTGGAATGAAAGTCCTTGGTTTAAAAGCTAAATACAAAATATTTTTTTATCTTTAAATCTTCTTACCATCAAGTTTTCGATAGGTCTGTTCACTCTAATTCTTAAGCTRATGGAATAAAACATGAACTGCTGACCGTACATTTGCTATATTACGCATATATACCTAAGACTAAGACAACAAATACGGGTGTGGTGTCCTCTTAATAATTCTCAATTCGAGCACTGTAACCACTTTTTATCTAAAATGTCATCCTTTGAATTGAATAAGAAACAAAATGTCACTTAAGTGATTTTTAATTTGAATCATTTTTTATCCCATTTGGTATTCCTCAAAGGTCACACTTGGCTCCAATATTAATTTTACTATTTATTAATGATTTAAAATTTACACCCAAGAAAGCTTTTCTATTCTACAGTACAACCACAAAATATAGTCTGTATATTTAATCACTAGTGACTATAGTGTTAAAATTAAATAAATTGGTTTTATTTAGAATAATTGTCCTGTTTGACTCCAGTTACCTATTACTCCTATATTGCATTTTAATTACAAATTAAATTGTATTTTATAAATAAATATCTAAACTTTTTACTTTTTACTGGTTATTATCCTCCTTGAAAATAATTTAAATATGCAATTTTTTGTTATTATTTTGCTGTTTTTAAATGTAACATTTTTTGAGTACTAACCCGATGCCTGACTATTCAACACTTAACATCGCTAATCTTATCAATTTATCATATTATTGTGGTATCAAAAAATATTGTACCAAAGCTGGTTAATTTCATTAATATTAATTAGTACTTTTCTGTTGCCCCTACTAACGCGACTTTCAATTCTGTTATCTCGACTATCTAGCTGATTCCGCGACTATTCAATTCTGTTATTTTGACTACTTTAGTACTATCCAGATAGTACCGTATTTTAATACATAATAAACGTTATAAATGTAACAATGTATATTAGGATAACGGTTACTATCAGCAATCACATAAATTATCACAGGAGAGTTATGGTATAAAACCACGATTTAAAATAGTACCTACTAACTTAAATCGTGTTTAAAACATAAAATCATCAAAATTATCACAAAACGTCAAATTAAAAATTCTAAAATTCTAAAATTAACACAGCATTGGAAAGTTATTATAATGTAAAACAACAGTCATCAAAATTATCAATAAAACGTCATGCGGTAGGAGCATCGAACGGTAGTAGGGATAACAGAAAAGTACCTTAATTTTATATGCCAAACTAACTTCTTCAAAGTTCATTATTGATGTTTATTTTCATATTTTTTTTTTTTAGATATGGATACTTATAAACTAACTGAAAAGATCTATACCGTCACACCAGTGATAACTAATAATCAGCGATTAATTTTAATATTGTATGGAATAACTATTATATTTGAACATCATACATACTAAATATATTCTAAAATGATATATAGGTATTTCATTTACAATTATGATTAATCGGAATGACAAAGTACAACTACAATAATTCATTGAAAAAATTTTGCTCATCCAGTGAATCAACATTTGGAGAATTGGTGTTTGATTGGATGTAAATGTATATATCAAACAAGAAAATGATGTCATACAAAAACATATTGATGAATAAACTTAATTGAGACTAGATTTTGATTGTAAAACAATCTTCAATGGTGAGTATTTTATTAGTAATCTTATTAGAGTACCTGATTGTCTTGTGATACTAGTTGCTATTTTATTTGTTGTCTTCGTAATTTTGTATAGACCGTCTTTAACCTGTTAACTGTAATGTGATTTTTTGTTCATTGCCACCACGGTAGATTATAGAGGTATATGCACGGCCATATATTCATAATGCAAACAATTGTCCCAGTGGATGTGTTTTATTCGCAGGTTTGCCGGTAGATCACGCTGCAGTCTTTTGGCCCTAATTTTCATGCTTGAAATACAGATTTCATACAATAAAAGAACAAAACCTCATCAAAAACAAAATTGTACATGTATTATAAATTTGACGTTATACTAGATTAAATATACACATTAACAAATTAAGGTAAAATTATAAAATCAATAAATAATAATGGACAGTGCTAGAATATCAGCTTGTTCTTTATAAATAATATTTACATACATAATAAGTCAATAAAAATTTWAAAAAAAATGATATAAAAGTAATTAATTTTTGTTAGAACTACCCACTAAATTGTTCTTGCATGCACAATTATAAAGCAATTTTTTGGATTACTATGTTGAAAGTTATCGTTTAATATTAATAAATTTTCATTAAATAAATATTTTTAAATKYWGAATAGACAATTAAATGCAGAATGAATTTAAAATTGTAAAATTATACATAATATAATATCTAAATATATTTTCATGTTATGAGCAAAAAATAAATTATTGTACCTACCTGATAATATACTGTATGATTTAGCACTAATTATTTTTTTGTTCATGATCAATTTTTAAGATTGTGGACTCTTTTTTTAGGACTTTTCCTATTTTTTAAAATTTTTGGTATGCACGATATAGGGCATCCTGGAAATATAGAAGGAATTGCTCCATTCAATAATTTTGGCTTTTTTAATTGCGCCTGTCAAAAAATATATTTAAAAAGATATATTTTTACTTTGTGATCAAAGAAAATATTTTATAATAAATACCTATTTACAATAAATTAATGAAAAAATATTTATGGATAATTGTATTAACTGGAATAGCTATAACTAGCTTCGTTACAGTGTCTTTTATTATTTAATAATATTTATGTAAATATATTGGTACTTAATTTAACATGATTTTTTTAGTTAATGCATAGATTGTTAAATTAAATAAAACAAATATTAAGAACATATATTATATTATTAATTTATTATTATTATTAAATACTTTTATTTGTGAGTCTCCCTCTCCAGAACTCCAAAACYATATAATTTCTTCTTCTTTGAAGTGCTTTGAACAAACAAATGAATTTGTGCTTAGTTCAATATCCCTTTTTGGTATAGCTTTTTTACATTTATCAAAATCTGGTTTTTTTGTACCTAGGAGCTTTAAACATTGAAACCTAATAT